CTTATTCATACCAGTCTGCGAGTGCTCACCCCCTGCGGGCCTCCACTTTGAGGTGGGAATTCATCTTGCGGATTGCATTCAGTCAAACTTGGCAAAAACCGAAAGTTTGCAAAAGTCAGCGTTCAGTATTTTGCAACACTATTGACATAGCATTGAATTTTTTTTTTTTTTTATTGTGTCAACAGCAGCAAGGACTATAGGTACGGTGAGTGGCAGGAGTCACAAGGCTGTCACAGGGGATACGAGGTGAACGGGGGAGGGCTTTCTACTACAAAACAACACGGTTCCACTTGTACATTGTAAACAGGCCGTTCTGGGACAGTCAGCAGCTAATCCTGACCCAGAGGAGTTCTTCTGTCGTGACTTAGTAACACACTATAGAGATACTTTTGTGCTCATGTAGGGACTAAGTCTGCAACTGCAAGGTTATTTTCATTATAAGTTGGTTTGGTCTTTTCATCATAAACATTCACCATTTCCTAGAGCCGTAGGTGATGTCAGTAAATGTCTTATTTATTTTGTGCGTACGGCAGCCCCCAAAAAATCCAAAGTTATTCCAACTTACTGCAATAAAAGCAGCACATTTTCACATTTGAGAAGCACAACCTGATACCAGACACAGGCCTGAAAATAATGAACCCAAAAAAAAAAAAGAAAAAAGTAGTGGTCTTTGACACCGGTCTCCTTTTTTGAAAGGTAACTCTTTAAATTTTACAACCAGAGAGTCTGAATGAGTAGAAGAGAGACTGATACTTTTATTTTGGCATAAAGAGGGAATATAAGGCCTGCAGTAGTGCTTTTTGGGTGGAAAACACTTTTGGAGCCATAGCCACAAGTCTGAACCAATTCTGTGTCAACAGCTGTTGCAGTAATATGAGAATCCTTAAATGCTTTGCACAGATAGAAACAGGAGACTTGGAGCTTTCAAACAGTTCATTCACAATGGTCCTTGCACAAGGTTGAGTCCGGTACAGACCTAAACACACCTAAAGTTAGTGCTACTGAATACAGCTCAAGGAGTATTTTAAAAGGTTCAACAAGAGAGTGTTTGGATTCTTTGCTTAAATAAATGATCAAAGTAGTTTGTGATAAATCTGCTGTTGATCGACTAATCAATTTATCAACTAATAACTGTAGCAGCACATAGAAATATTAATTTATCCTATGCCCTGACTCTTTAGATATCCCCTTGTATGACAGTTCAGGTAGCGCTATAAAAATGAAAAAAATTATCTAAAAATACGATATAAATATTTACCTTCGATGAGGAGCTGTTTAAAAATGCAGCTATTTTTTCACAATAAAATGATTTTTAATTCATTTTTTCAATTAAAAAGTAGAACTAGATGTTAAAAAGTTTTGCATGATTAAGTAATTAGAAAAATAGATCTTCTATAGTTAGAAGCTGGCGTGTATAAACGAACAGTGTCGAGTATTATTTGGTATTGCTGTTTAACTGTTAATGACTGTGCTGTTAATTTTGTCATGGGGGATCACGCTGCAGTCATAATCAGCTCTGTGTTTTGTTGTGTCCCTCATGCACAAGAGATGATGTGACCTTAGCCGGGTAACATGTTTAATAAATCAGTTCTCCAGTGTCCGTGAATCCATGAAGAATCCATTATCCACAACTGAGCTCTGTTTTGTCCAGTGACACCGGCTCTCCTGCAGCTCATACAAATAAACAGGCATGTTTTAATCTAATCTGAACTGATCTACTTATTTCTCATAGCGTATTGGCATTAGGATAAAAACAAAAAAAAACTTTTCTCACTAAAAGTTGTGTGACATGGATCAGTTATTAATAACAGATAATACAAAACAGATGATGGCGACGATGTTGTAGATGCTAATCAATTCGTTTGGATGAAGTTGATCTAAGAAGCTGGGGAAAAAAAAAAAAAAAAGTAGTAAAAGTGTATGCATGAGAAAAACGGAGAGATATAATTACCCGTCAGTCTGGCCCGCTAGAAAGTCTGCCCTCTTTTCTCTACCCATTAATCATGTTGAGTGTGATAAATAAGTAAAAATGCTAATTATTAAGCAGTGTTACAAATGAGGGACAGGTAAGAGAGAACGCGTAACGGGGGGAAAAACAGTAACAGAGAAGTGATTAAAAGAGAAATAACAGTGGAGTTGTTAATTACAGACCCGGAGCTCACTCACAGCGTTGTTAATCAACACCACTAATGAAACTGCAGCTTGTTTTGCTGTTGTTTTTGCAGATCTGCTGAGATGTTTGACACAACGTCTCTCCAACCTGACCCCTCCAACTATTTCATTATTCACCTGCTGCTGCATCAGAGAGAAAGAAAAAGGCTGTTTTTGTGACATGATGACTAATGGTGTGTGTGTGTGTGTGTGTGTGTGTGTGTGTGTGTGTGTGTGTGTGTGTGTGTGTGTGTGTGTGTGTGTGTGTGTGTTTGTGTGTGTTTGTGTGTGTGACATCAGTCCTGTCAACGCACCGCTAACCCACCCAAACACACACACACACACACAAGCATCCACACGTACGCACAGGCCGCTTGTTGTAGAAGCAATACTCCACCTGCATTGAAGTGTGTGTGTGTGTGTGTGTGTGTGTGTAGGTGTTAGTGCGTGTCCTGCTTTCCCGGTGTGGTGTGTTCTGGGTAATGGGACTGATGCTCCACAGCTAGACGCTCCTGGCTCTGTGCGTGTGTGTGTGTGTGTGTGTTTTCTATTTTCCTAGGAACCGGTGGTGAAATTTTTAGCTAGCTGGGATTTAATGAGAGCTAATGGACTCAGACTGTGTTTGTCTCTATCTTTCACTTGTGCTCTCACCTGCCCCCCCCACCCCTCCCTCTCTCTCTGCTCTTTCATTATTCGTGTCGCACCATCCATCGCTCCGCCGCACCAATTCTTTGAATCTCTTTGTCCTTGTTTGACATTAGCCGAGTCCTACTTCTGTGCACGTCAGCTGCCCACGGGCTATATTCTGCAGCCACGTGACGCTTTTCCCTGCTGTGCGTAAGTTCATTGCGTGTACCCCCGCCTCTTTTTGTCCTCGTTTGGTCGTCTTCCCCTCACATGACCTCTTCCTCTGTCACACAGGGGATTTCTCTGTCGTGCTCCTCGGTCCAGGTTAGGGTTGGGCGGTACTGTGAGACATCAACACGGACGAGTACTTGCCCGTCAGATCCCTTGTTTTGCCGGATTATCCACTTTAGGTCTTTGCTGTCGTTTATCTGGCATGACGTCCATGTAAGACAACAGAGTGGCGTCCTGTTTTACTTCATCCACTGTGGAATAAACCGCTTGTTTATCTTGGTTAAGGCGTGGGCCTCACTGCTGACCTCACCTGTGTGTGATGGTCGCGGTACCTCTTCGCTCTCATTTTGGCGCCGATGTTAACGGGTTGGAGAGGCCACGCAGCAGCACCTATCTGATTTGAATTTTTGCTTTTAGATGTTTTACTATGGAAATAGTTCGAAACCCATGACCAGAATAGTCATGGATTCTGTCATATTATTATTTATGGATGGAATTATAGTGAAAATAAATGATCCCCCTGGCGTCGTCCATTGGCCCAACTCTGGTCCACTTCTCTGTTCTCGAGCATAGAAATACTAAAAACATATTAACCATGTTTTGTTGCGTTGGACATTTCACATCTTTGTGGCTTTTGGAGTCTTTTCTTCATATTTTCTGCAGTTTTTCTTTCACCCTCGGAAATGTGTTTCCATTTAACTAAAAAGAAAAAGCTCCATTTAGCACATTTTAAATTTTAGTATTAGTGTGACATGAAAGCCAACACCGAAGAGCACGTTGGTTTATTGTTACAAGGTGTTCACTGTTTACCTGGTTTTCAGTCAGTTTAAATTGAACTGAAATCTGATTGAAGACTGGAAATACCTGGAAAAGCATCACACTGTGGAAAACATTGAAACATCTTTACTCTAACGCTCATATTTTATTTTTTATTTTTGCCTGCATGATATTAGGGGAGTTGAAGTTCAATGTGCATTTCAATGAATATTAAAGCTTTTTAACACTCAAGGACAAACGTAGACGTACATAAGTTGTAGTGTGTATTGTGCAGTGTGTCTGCATTGTGAATCATCCTGTATTGTATTACCTGGTCTCCTTTGTTCAATGTTTCCCTGTTGGCTGCTCCCTCAGCTTCAGAAATGTCATTAACTTTTTTCATTCAGAAATAATAAATTATAATAATGATGAGGATGGTGATAATGATAAAAATAAGTCATCATATCGAAATAACTTGACTTTAAGCAACTAGAACAACTGTTATTTTCTTACGCGGGGTGTCTGCAGTCTGGTCAGTTCAGCTGACACATATTCATAAGATATCATATTCTTCACTTCTTAGTTCAGACTGAGGAGCTTTCATAAAAAGATGAGGATTAGTTTGCACACAGATGGCCTGCCTGTGTGTGTTACTCCACTCCTGTTTATTTCATAGGAGACGGCCAGATGGTGTGAATGTGTGTGGAAAAATGAACACTGTCGAGAATATTTCGGCTTGGCAGTATTAAATGTATCAGTCATTTCTCAGCCGCTGGCAAATCGCCCTCTTTCTGTCATTAATTCTGGTTCCCATTACATTTGTAATTTCATGATTCCTGGTGTGTGTGTGTGTGTGTGTGTGTGTGTGTGTGTGTGTGTGTGTGTGTGTATGTGTGTCTGCCGAGTCATTCAGCCAATAGCTGCGAGATGCAGAGTGTGGCTGTCAATGGCTTTTGCTAAATATGCTAATAGCCTGACACCTGTTTATATAAGAAGAGGAAAACACACACCTCCCCGTCAAGCACACACTCAAACAGTCCCACACAACACAAGAGCAAGGGAGCAAACAGATTATTTTTTTTTTGACTTTTGTTCGAGGTTGGTGAAATTCATAGACACAAACATTTCTTACTTTTGTCTCTTTGTGTCTTTTTTTTTTTTAAACTTTTTGTTTCACGGGAAACGAAGAGGCAGTCCGGCAGCATCTCATGTCGTCTCTCTTTTTTCCTTCTTCAGTGATGGAGCCCATGACGGTGACGACGTCGGTGGTCGGACCGGACGAGTTCGACCGCAACGCCCCGCGGATCTGTGGCGTGTGCGGCGACAAGGCCACCGGCTTCCACTTCAATGCCATGACCTGCGAGGGCTGCAAGGGGTTCTTCAGGTGAGTGTCACCCCTGAGCCTGTGTGTGTGTGTGTGTGTGTTTTGTTTTTTGGTGTTTTTTGGATATATCGGCGCTACAGGAAACGTGTGCGTTTGTCCTCGTATGTGAGGTGTTATTAGCAGCCTTTGCATGTGGAGGAGGTGTTTTTCATCATGTATCTGCATTTGCTCTATACTTGGCATCACACACTTTAACAGTGATTTTTCTGCCAAACTGTAGCCGAGTCAGTGCATCTCTGATTTTCCACCTGTTGTTAGTCACATATCAGATTTTTATGTTCAAGTCTTATCTATATTTAGGTTTTAAAATGAGACTTATTTTCACTTCCAGGCAGCACTGGCCTGAACCTACTTCTTTTTCAGAGAGTTATTTTTGTTGAGTATCTCCACGCTCACGCACTCAGACCTGGGTCATGCACTGATCCTCTCTGTTGCACACACACACACTCGTACAGTGACTTCCCCATTGACCCTGCTGCAGTCGGACTTTGCCGCTATCTATCCGTGTTCTTGTACCTCATGTGCGCACTATACTGTAGATGTGTAACGTAGTTTTTTATTGCATGAGGACCGTCTTTCATACAGCCAAATTTCTAATCAAATGTGATGTCATTCTCCTGCGCTATTGTTGCTGTCATTCTTATTATAATATTACAAGTTTTATTTTGCACCATTGTTGATTGTTCTTTCTTTGCACTGATGTTTTTGCTTCATCTTATTGTCATTGTTTTTTTCCTTTGTCTTGCACTGGTTGTGTGTTGTGTGTGTGCTTTGTATTTGTGTTTTTATTTTTTATTTTTTTATGTCTAGTCTAATTGTCCTTTAAATTGCCCCCTAGAGGGCAAATAAAGTTAATTGAATTGAAATATGAATACATGTCCATGCTGCCATTACCTATAGCAAATGAATGTTCAAAGAGCGTGTGTGTGTGTGTGCGTGTGCGTGTACGGCTGTCTGATGTCAGTACACACTGTCTTTGATGTTATGCTACATGTTTTTCTGTCTGGCTACATGAACATGGATGCAATGTTTTCAGAGAAATATGCGTTATGCACTGATGTCCATAATCCTTTTTTCCCTTTCTCCCCCTCTATCGTGCCTCCGCTCTCTCACGGGACACACAAAGACGTATACAACGCACATGCATATTTCATTAAGGAATCCAAATAGAATTCAGTGATGAAGTGTTGTAATTAATTTTAATCCCGCCAGCCGAAGGGAGAAGATTAAGACATCATCCTTTCAAACGGGGATTTTTATTGTGAGTGGAATAAAAGAGTTCAGGTAGAGTTTAATTTGAAGTTACTGGAAGAAGTTTATGTAAAATATATATGTTAAATATCTATAAATTGGTCTTCCTTTGTACTGAAGTGTTTATACATAAATTGCATCTTGAAAGGGGTTAAAATATTTGCACTAAAAAGTTTTTTAAATGACAGTCTCCTCCTTCTGTCCCTGCCGTGAATGTTTTAACCACCACCAGCGAATAAATGATTCTGAATTAACGAGTGATTCACCTTGAACTTCCGTAGGCGCAGCATGAAGCGTAAAGCCTCCTTCACCTGTCCGTTCAACGGAAGCTGCACCATCACCAAGGACAACCGGCGTCACTGCCAGGCCTGTCGTCTCAAACGCTGCATCGACATCGGCATGATGAAAGAGTGTGAGTTGACCTTTTGAGTTGCTGCTGAGTCCTCGTGGCTCCAGATGGAAATTACAACTTCAGCTGTAAATGTTTTAGCTTCACCAGTTTACGTCTCGTCCGTGTTGTAATGGATTCGTGGCTGTGTATTAACGGTGTTCAGGAACACGGAATTAGTTATGAGAACCACGACTGATTGGATGATTATTTTTATTTTTTTTATCCAGGGCAGTTTCACTTGGACAGTTTTCTTCAGTCGAGTTCACGGTACTTGAAGTGGACCCAGTGTTATCTCTGGCGACACACATGATTTCCTTGAAACAGGAAACGTATTCTTTAAAATTCACATGCTGTCTTTCTGCCAGTATTTGATAATGGAAGGAATGAAATCAATCAATGCAAAAGCTAAACAAGGTGTCTTCTGCTGTTGGTGACGGGCAATAGAATTAAGCTTCGTTATAAAATGGATCAAATAAATGAGAAATGTCATGAAATTGCCACAGAGGTAAGATTCCTAATGGACTCATATATTAAGGCAAAATGTGACCTTTTTTAACCTCTGCTTGACATCTCCTTTTGATGTAATATTCATTTAGGCGTCTGAGTTGCTGCAGAGCTGATGCTGCTCCAGGATCAGTGCTCAGCTTGAAAACCACAGCCATTACTGCATGAAATACAGTTGACTTTTATTTTTTTTATTTATTTTGCACTTGTTTTTTTTTTTGTTTGTTTGTTTTTTGAGCCAGTGCCAAATTTCAACCCAGCTTGTTACACATAAAGCCACTTAGAGGACGGTAGCCCTCAGTCCAGATAGAAGACTTAACTGTAGCTGATGTTAGAACAGCCTGTTTCATGAGTGTGCTGCTGTGTCTGCTTCAGCTTGTCGTGTCTTGCTTTCCCATTTTTGGCATGTTGGCTTCCAGGCAGGATAATAAAGTAAAAACATTTTTTTTCCCACTAAAAATCTAGTATTTAAATCAAAATCAAAGCCATAAAAAACATCAACCCAAAATAAAACCTTCCTAACTCTGATTTAAGTACTAAATGTTTCATTTTCAGTCATTTATTTTACTGTTATTGTTTTACTGATGCTTGATTATTAAAATTATACCTAATGGTCACTGATTATATTATTTCAAATTGCTTTCGAATGCTCAAAAAAATCACATTAAATGCAAGCCGAGTCATTTTTTAACTGCCAGGAGAGGTTAGCACGAGGTCGGCCGGTGCTTAAAGACAAAGAGGAAGAACAATAAGCAACAGAATCGGTGGTCGGGTGTAAACTGATCTGATTTGCCACGAGAAAAGACAGAGAGTACTGGCTATGCATAAGGCCGGCTGTGCCATATGGTAAACTCTGGCCTGGGTCAAATAGTAGCTGCAAATAATAGTTAGTGTATTTTAATCCTGCTTTTATCCTGCCAGATGGAGTTTCCATCATCACCGCGGTTCAGTGTTAATCACACTATAGTAAAATATCTTAACTAGATTAGAATTGCTTTATCATTGAAAGGCGGTTTGACACAGCTCTGCTCATAACCGCGTTGGTTATGCATACAGTAATACAAGCAGAACGTGCCGTGAAAGGAGAATGAGGCATCACCTCGGCCCACGTTAACACAAAATGACACCTTGTCTCAACCGATTCATAACGACTAACAGAGAGGCCGATCTTTAATCTGCACGACGACAAATTATCACATTATCCAGCAATTATTGCGCCATTCTCACTGCTGATTTAAATGTGAAAGACTGAGGAAGCACTGTTTTTTTTTTTTTTTTTTTTTTCTCAAATCATGTGCATTTGGAAGTAACACCGACAGTAGAGCATCAGCATAACCATGACAAGCAGTAGATGACAAGAGGAGAATAAGCGAGAGAGAGAGGAACGGAAGGAAGGAAGTCAGAGGGGGGGGGGCGGGGTTAAAGTCCTGTTCGACAATGGCTCTCTTTCTTCAAAGACATGCACAATGGTCTTAACCACATTTCATTCACAAACAGTGCATGAGTGTGTGTGTGAGGGAGAAACAGAGATGATGCAGGGCAGGGATCATAACAACGATAACAGCCATGTTGACCACAAACAGCCACATGACACTGGCGCGTCTGTGTTTCATTGAGAAAAGATGAGAGACGAGTGAAGGAGGAGGAGAGAGACAGACGGAGAGACTCTTATCAGTATGAAATGGTCTCTGTGTCTTGCAGCTGGTGCACAGGTTCCCGAGATAAAGGAAGCTCACTGTACTCGCTGCTGAGTGTTACAGCTGCTCTGCTTGCCTGTACAGTGTGTGTGTGTGTGTGTGTGTGTGTGTGTGTGTGTGTGAGTGTAGCTAGGGTGTCTTTTTCTGCATAGAGATCTTACAGGCAGCTGTGTTGTTCACATGCTGCACTGTCTGCAATGATAAATATTTTTGCATCGGTGGTAAGCGTAAAGGAAGAATCACTCCAGCGTGGCACGGAGATGAAACGCAGCAGGATGATAGGCTAGCCCATTAGCGCTTGACATTAAAAATCATTATTTGCATTAACTCTGATTAACTGCCATCACATTCGTCGTCTGAAAGCGGCAGGTCTGTGTTCGTCTGCAGCCTGTGATTGAATTGTGAATTGCCAAAAGGTTATTATGCGCTTCACATCCAGGCGTTACATTTATTCAGTCTTGTGCAACAAGTAGCAGGCAGCTTCATATTACACTCAGCTTCAGTTTATTCAAATCAGTATTATTTTTAGTAAAAAAAAAAGAAAAGGAAAATGACTTGGTCTCTTTCAGAAATGTGCTGGTATGACTGTGAGGTCGGCACACTCATGCAATTAATGTGGCTTTGCCCTGATGTGCAAATGATTTCCCTTCCTCCATGTTAAATATACAGACTCCCGTCTTTTCCCGCAGTATGTATGTGTACTTAAAGAAACAAATAGAGAATATAAAGAGAAAACCCTCACCATGCCTTATTGCATTTGCATTTCTCGCTGCAACACGTGAACTGGAGAATACAGAAGAAGAAGAAGAAGAAGAAGAAGAACGGTTAGCGTGAGGATAGCTGGGTATTTTTGTGACTGGAGGCCACAGTCCATGTATTCTTTGAGCCAAAGTGCACTAAGTTTATTTTCCTGTTTTAAAAGAAATAAATCCAGGTTCAGTAGGTCATGGTTGAGGTAGCACCTTTGCCTCGTTTCGAGCCAGGAAAAAGCCAGTGTACCCATGTCACTGTGTCTACTGTGTCTGTGTGTGTGTGTGTGTGTGTGTACGTGTGTGTGTACGTGCTGAGGACAGGGTGACTGTGTGGCACTGAGCATCGATTGGTTAAAAGTTCAAAGCCTCACATTAATGTTAGAGTCTTTGTTTCTGGGCTGGAGTTGAGTCACACAAGCCTGTGGTGTTAATAGAGGAAACGTGTTTATTGTCACGATCGATCTCCGTGTTTTTGTTTGTTTGGGTTGCTATTAGTGAGTGTGACTTCTGTCCTGTTACCTGTTGCTCATCCGCCTCCTGTTTGTGTGTTTCATCAGTCTCACTTTAAATCTCATGCCAGCACTGACACCAGGCTTTCTGCTGTATCCTGGAGACCCTGATATTAGAGACATAGATACATCTCCGTTAGGATAACTTACTCGGTTACTAAATAACTTCGAATTGCATGTACACCTGTGTTTCTCGGTGGCTTCTTGAGACATTCTAAGTAAAATTTCCAAATGTGAAAACAAATGTATTTATTGTTTTCCATGAATAGCCCTTCGTTTTTTAATGGTAGACAGTTTGTTATGTTCATGAACGGATCTTTGTTTTTTACAGTTATCCTGTGTTTTTGTGGGTATGTGTTTGTCTGCCTTTACACCATCCTCTTTTAAATTGGCAGCTCTGGCTAAGCTTCACCAGCATTCAGATTAGAGCTGTGTGTGTGTGTGTCTGTGTGTGTGTGTGTGTGTGTGTGTGTTTGTGTTTGTGTGTTTGTGTTTGTGTTTGTGTGTTTGTGTTTTTGTGTGTGTGTGTGTGTGTGTGTGTGTGTGTGCCCTCTGTGAGCTGTGCCAGCTGAGTGCGTAGTAAACACCCCTACGCTGTCCTTGTTTGACAGAGGTTAGAGAGATGCCAGGAAAGGACCTCCCCGCTTGTGTGTGTGTGTGTGTGTGTGTGTGTGTGAGAGAGAGAGAGAGAGAGAGGGGGAGAGTGTGTGTATATTTGCATGCTCGCTGTGTTTGTCTGTCTGCATGGGTGTGTATTTGTAACAGGATTAGAATCACAGGCGAGTTTCTGAAACGTTTTAGCCTTTAGATGATTGAATTCCCGCCCTTGGTGTCTTTTGAGTAGCGGAGCATCTCCTGTGGTGCTGACCTCCATTTACCTCCCTAATTCATATTCTTCATCCCCTCTCTGACTCTTTTGTATTCCGTCTCTTTGACAGCCTTTACACCTGCATTAACATATTTTGCCAGATGCTGGATTTAATGCGGGATAGACCAAACCCATGTCAAACAGAGGTGTGGATGGATCCGAACAACAAAGACTTTATCCCCCGCACACTATTTAGCTAATGCATAGACCTCCTTAGTTTTCAGATTTAAGATTGAATACGAGTAATCAATATTTTCTGTCGTTGCTGAGACATAATGGTGCGTCGCCTCATGCGCCCCACGCCGTCCGACCATTCACATTTCCACTGCGATCTACTGATAAGCCATTTGGCGTCACACTCGGCGTGTGTGTGTGTGTGGGCGCCCTGACGCCTGACTGACCTGAATTTACCTCTCGGAACATCACAGGCCTGGTGCGGGCGGTGGTGGAAAAAAATCTTGGCCACACACCAAATCCAGCTTGACATATATCACACCAGATCTGAGCGTTAGCAGCCTCCATTGTATTTAACTGGTCTGTTGACTGGTTAATGAGTAAGCCCGCTGTGAACCTCAGGCCTGCACAACGCTCTGCCTTTTCATCGTTGTCATTGTGGCATTACTGGTGTTTACCAAACTAATATGTTTTTTTTTTTGTTTTTTTTAATCACCCCACCCCCCACCCCCACCTCCACCTCCAGCCCTCCCTCACTGTTTGCCTTTCTTTCTGTCTTCCTTTCTTCGCTCCTCTCTGCCATTCAGGGCACCACATCGCCACATCCAATCAGTCGCTGCCCAAACAGCAAACTCTCTTTTTGGTAAACTGCCCCGTGTCTGCCAAGCACTGTGGGGTGGTCAAGATGTTCCTTTGATGGTGTGTTGTTTTTTGTGGACTCCTGCCTTAATGATGCCATCCAGGGCTCAAACTTGGCTGGAAACTGACTGGTTCAATCATGTCCCGGCCTTAGAATAGCTGCTTTGACGGCCTGTGCCAAATTCTGACCAAACTGTGCCTATTCATGATCAGGGCTTTGAGCTGCACCACAAGGAGTGGTTCTAGGCAGTCCGCTCCTGGCTTGGGACTGGATGGACATTGGTACGGAGCCACAGCCTAATTAATGATGGTGTGTTAAAAGAGATGAGAGCCAAGCAAATCCTTTGGTTAGCTAAGCAGTCAGATTCATTCAGTTGCCTTTTTAAGCCCGTGTTGCCAAACTGTTGTTGTTGTTTGTCTGCATCACCACATCATGCGGTTACGTAACGCTGCTTCTGCGGTTGCAATCCAGGGTGCAATCACTGAAAATCCACTTCAAATATAGTTGTTTACAGCTTCCAGGAAAACAACCAGTACTTAGTATGAAGTGCATGATCCGAGCGCTGTTTAATTTAGTCATCCATGCCATCTCATTGGTCTCTTAAATTAGCAGTTACTGTGAAGTATGTATTTATTTGGTGCATTTATTCCTTTGATCCCAACATGCACTTAACGTTGTGAAGGCTGAAAGCTGCAGCCTTGCCACATGACAATGTGGATGAGCGGATGAACCAATCAGAAATCGCTGCATTAACAGATTAAGACGATAAAACAGTTCAGCCTGTTGAACCGTTTCGAGGACACAGCAGTTTATTCAGAATAACACAACGGTCGTGAACAAGGTCGCTATGCGGCTATAAACCTGTAAAACCTAAACAAATAGCGTAATTTGATGGTGCTAAATTTGATGTGTGCAGAGTATGAATGGTGAGACAGTTTCTCTGTAGCTGCCCGGCCGTCAGAGTTGCCGTCGTATCTGTGTGTTTTGACCTCATGACTCTGGGCCCGTCTCCCTTTGGCAGTCGTGGTTTGTCTGGCAGTCGTGCTGTCTGTCTGTCCGTCTGTCGGCACAGTTGAGCGCTTCACGGGTAATCGGTCACTGTGGCACAGAGTCAAAAGGATAATATGGGCCGAGGCATTCGGAGGTCAGCGCATTACTCCGGCAGTGACTGCAGGCCTCAGGAGACTAAGTGTAAAACACCAGTGAAGTGGTTATTTTTCTGTTGTTGCTGAACAGTATTTCTACTTTCCTGTGTGCTGTTATTAGCGTGCTACAGTATCAAGACGAAGAAGAAGAACTGTGGTATGAAATGTGGTTCTGCAAATATTGTTTATCTTTTTTTTTTCTTTTTTTTTTTTGATCTAATGGTAAATATTTGCTCTGAATATGTAAGCTCCCAGTTCTCCTAGTGTGGTTTCCTTTTTCTTTTCTTTTTTTTCTTCTATATTTTCTGTACAGTTTCCTGTGTGGCATCAAACACTGACGGTGTAACACTCTTCCTGCCTCTTTCTTTCTGGGCTCAACAGAAATGTTGTGCACTGAACCATGTAGTAGATCAACATCTGCCAGAATACAGTGTTAACGTCTCATACTGTATATAGTAGTAATGTGCATATATAGAGTGTTACAGGACCAAAGCAGATGCATCTGTTTTCTCCATCAAACACTTGCTATGTATGATCTCACAACTCAATTAAACCAGTGACAGTAATACACTGTTAAAGCCTGTTTCAATTTAAGTAATAAGTAGTAGTACAGATTTTTTTTTTTTTTTCAGATCACCTCGTTACAGATGTCTCATTCACACACTGAACGTTTGAGCCTCATGTTTTTCATTTAATATCAAGTCTTCAGTCACAGCTTGTAATTCAATGTTTCCTGTTTCACGCCATCGGCGGCCCCCCCTCTCTGCAGCACACATCCAGATGTAGGTGTGTTTTTAAAAAAGACAAATCTTACACTAGGGGAATAGTGTGTATCACTCATGCTAAACTGAATCAAAATAATTTACAGAACACACAGTGGTAAGTGTTGAAAACAGCCTCTCCACAGCAACAGTTTGAACGGAGCCGCTCAGAGCAGCTGTCTGCCATTAGACCTCTTCCAGAGACTCCGTCTGCGCTGGGAGTTCAAAGGAACGTTCTAGAAAGGCAAAAGATTCGGTGACGAACTCGCACAGAAACTCATGTCGACTCACCACAGCTGTATTTTCAGTCATTCTCACAGTGCTTTCACAGCAGGATCGCCATTGTTTTCAGTTCTGTCTTGTTCTTTTTTTCTTTTTTTTTTCATCATTTGCTGCAATAAGTCAATGTTTATGTGTAAGGCCAGAGGGAGGAGTCGACACTAATTGATCCCCCCCTGCATTTTTTTTTTTTTTTTTTTCCAATAACATCATTTTAATATGCGGGCAGTGGAGGGCTCATACTGTGATGCCAACGCTGACAAGGCCAGTGTGGTTAGTTAACATTGCTAACATTTTTTTAAGATGTAGACATTTTTATTGTTTGTCTGGAAGTCCAAAAAAGATTTTATTACAGCTCTGACATTTCTGGAAATATGTTTTTATTATGGCCAAAGGGGTCAGATTTTTTGGCATTTGAGCAGGGCGGCCTCCTCTATATAGACCACTCACTATAAACAGTGTGCCTAATCCATTCTGCACTGCTGTGCCACTCCGCCTGCAGTCTTTACTCGTGCAGCATGAATAAGGCAATTTAATGTCCAACACCAGTTACGTAAGCCACATAAAGAGGCAGCAGACACGACAGGCCGTCTCCGCGTGCTGCACTGAGGAGATGTATGTTTCATGTAACCTTGGAGGGTAAGTAAGTGGAGCTTACATGAGATCTCCCTCGCCTTGTTTTGAAATCTAACTTTGTTTTACTGCTGATGGTGGCAACGAATTCTTTTTATTCTCTAGTTCAGTGTGAAGTTGAGCTATAGTTAAAAGGACATGCCAGGTCCCCACGACGTTTGCTAATAAGTGCTTTGTAGATAAAAAAAATAATGCTGTGTTCTCCTCTCTCTCTTCACAAACACCCGTCACATGTCAAAAATGTTAGTAGTTTATTTTTTATCTTTTTATTTTTTTTTTAATCTAACACTTAAACACAAACGCCGTGTCACCCGTCTTATACTGTTAAAGCTCCTCCGGTGTCACCCTCTGCTTTGTCAGCTATTATTAGCTTTAGTGTTTCCCTCTGTGTCACAACATCGTAACGCAGACAGCGTGAAGAGCACGTGGTGTCACTACGCTATGTGGCACCATGCATTTGGACTGGTGCATGTGTTTACTTCCACTGAATCGGATGCAGTGAGATGAGCCCGGATCAGTTACAATCAAGTGATATCTGTGGTTTTAATTAAATCCAAGATTCGTTTGCAGCGTTCACTCTGTTGGCTTCCTGTTTCCTGATGGATTCAAACAATTAAAAATACGGATTTTTAATGTTTGCATTGTTAAACTTTACTTATTTGACTTTCTGTCATTCTTCCTTTGTTCTTTTTTTTTTCATTTTTCTTAATATGTCCTTTCTTCCATGCTCTATTCCAGTCATCCTGACAGACGAGGAGGTTCAGAGGAAGAAAGAAATGATACTGAAGAGGAAGGAGGAAGAGGCGGCCCGGGAGGCGATGAGGCCACGGCTGAATGAGGAGCAGGCCCGGATGATTTCCTGCCTGGTGGAAGCTCACCACAAGACCTACGATGCCTCCTATTCTGACTTCTCCCGCTTCAGGGTGAGTCCATCACAGGGTTTTCTTTTTCTCCTTTCCCAAAACCACGCTCACATTATCGCTGATGCGGCCGAAAATCGCAAATTTGAGGCTAAACGCTAAAGAGCTCAAAACAAAAGAAATGTCACGATAGGATATGGATACCATCTGCTCCGGTTCAACACGACACTTGAAGCCCTGGCATTCTCTCCATTATTGAGTCAAAGTATAGAAGTAAATATTGCTCCAATACAAAGACAGTAAGTTGTTCAGTCAAATTTTTTTACTTGGGTCAAAGTACTGTAGTACTTCGTTTAAAAAATACTCTCAAGTGTTCAAAAGTCTCTGAAAATAAACAAGTAGAAACGGTAGAAACTGTAGAATAAAACACTTAAACAATATGATGCAGAGCTTACAGAAAGGGCCAGACGTCATTTGACCAACCACAGCTTTAAAAGCAGCAGCTACCACAAGCTGTCAGTTTAGTTCCAGATAAACTTTTAAACGAGCGTTACCTCCACCTCGACTCGCGTTCTCGTCTTTACCTAATGTCTTTGTCTAATAAGAGCAGTGAAATAACACTCAAGTAAAGTACAGATAATAGAAAAATATACTTAATGTACTAACTGACTGGAGGAGATTATAATTACAGCTACAGCATCAGGAAAGGCCACGTTTGATTTTCATTAGAGAGGCGGAGAGTGTGTTTACATCACATCTTCTGTCAGTGATAACTAAGCTCCAGCTTTTTGTACAGAGTGAAGAGACCGAGATGGCGTGTGCATTTGAATCAAGTGTAAAAACTTGAATGCTCTGGAAGGGTACAGCCACACCTACATGTTGGTCTCTTTGGTCAAAATAAACTTCTTTTTACAAGTGAACCAGGGTTTTTCTAAATAAACGTCGCATAAACACACAAGCGGCTGGTTTACTGGCCGGTGTGGTGACATGCAGCCCCAGCAGGTTATAGAGATGTTGAAGGCAGAGAAACTAAAAATTCAGCACGATGGACTCGACTGTACTGTTTGGCGTAATTTATGTTCTCTGGTGTTCGCATCAGCTGAGATCACACGAGTCACACGCACGCACAGGAGGCGGTAGTGACAGCCAGATTTACGATTGATCAACATATGTATAGCACATATTGCGGAGTAAAATGACTGCACTGTGTGTGAAAGTAAAGGCAGTCAGAACCCCATCCTGTGATCTTGAGATAGCTGTAAATAACGTCTGTAACCACAGTCATATTTCAGACCAACACGTCAGCAAACACACGCCTGTGTGTGTTTTCAGTTTGCTCGACACCAGTAACACGAGTCACCGAAGGCGTTTATCCGCCCCGACAGTGGCGTCGTATTTTCTTCCTCCGCGTCACGACTCTGAGGTGTGCTCTGAGACGACGCCCCCCCCCCTCCCCCCCTCGTGTGACCATAACATCACAATTGGGTCGTCGGAGTAAATGAGATGGAGGATACAGATTGGATGGAACATGAAAGTCTCAAAACACTTCTCCCCGTCTCTGTGATTTATTAGCGTCAAGTGTGATCCTGTCGCACACTGCGCAGCAGACAGCCACAGCCACAGCCACACTCCCCTTCGGTAGTAAATACCAGAGTTTTTCAGTCGTGAATGTCACTTTGAACTGAATGTGAACCCCTGCAAGATGAAGTGCCCAGTTAATGCTAAAAAATAAACCATGCAACAATTTCTGATCAGACTGAAAAAAAAAAAAAGAAGAAGAAAAAAAAAAGAAACCGAGGTGTGCTTTAAAGATAAAGATAGATAAAGTGGGTACGCTACTTCAGAAGGACACGACCGTGGCGGTGAACTGATGTTTTCATAAAAGACACACTGTGTTGTAGCTTGGTGGAGAACTCTTAACATTAGTCTTTGAGTAAATATTAAAAATAAGCCAACACACATTTGGATTACAGAACTCACTTCCCTCATTTACTTTAAATTATAAACGATCAAACGGAGCATTTGTTCGCATCATCAGGTTTTCTACAAACCTGACAAACACCTCTTTTCTTCTTCTTAAGTCAGATTCTTATTCTTGTATCTTATTGTTTTATTTCTTATCTGGAGTAGTTTGTTTGCATGTGTTTGTTTTTGTTATTTTATCCATGTGAAACTTTATTATTATTATTATTATTATTATTAAGGATCAGGAGCCCATCAGTTGTGAATGTATTCCAGTGAGGATATTAATAATTGTGTCTCTGTGTGCGTCCGCAGCCTCCAGTGCGTGAAGGCCCAGTAACACGCAGTGCCAGCAGAGCCGCCTCCCTTCACTCTCTGTCTGATGCCTCGTCTGACTCATTCAACCACTCTCCTGGTGAGACACACAGACTCCTTCTCCTCCTCCTCCTCCTCCTCCTCCTCTGTTTGATGGCTCTCATGATTCAGGGTTAACTTTAGCAAAGACACAGCCCTGAAGAAATCGACTGAGTAAAAAAAAAAACACAAGTAAGCAGTAAGTCTGTGCCCACTGTGTCTGCCTCTGCCGGAGAAGGCCCATTCATTAGAAGAGAAACAAGCAGACATGCACATAGCAGAACAATAGGAAACTGCATTTCACGACACGAGTTTCCCTGACAGATATGCTAAGACCTTTGTGTATTTATCCGACTATAGTATTGCCCTAGTTGTGTCCTCACTCCTGCTCTTGAGGAGTTTACCAAAAAAAGTTTGTCAGATAACTAACTCTGTGTGTTTGTTTGCACCAAGATGCCAGGACGGAGGGGGGAGCAGTGTGATTCTACAATAGGATATGTTAAATATAAATGTTTTTATTTGTATTTTATGATGTTTAATGGATGTAACAGACATTTCAAGTCTGAAAAAGTATGAAGTTGCCAAACAATGATTTGTTTTCCTTTTTCTTGTATTGTTTCTTTTAGCTTAAAATTATAGCTTGCTATTTTGAGATGTTAAACAGCATCTCAAAATAGCAAGCTATAATTTTAATCAAATTCTAAGAAGAAATTTGTTAATTATGTTTTCATAAAATACTAAATAATTCATCTCTTCACTGCTGTTTTACCTCGACGCTTTGCTATTTCTGTGTGTTCAAAATGTTTCCTTGTACTCACTTCCTTCCCTCCCCTTGCTTTCCTCCTCGGCCCTTGTCTCCTGATCCTTTCCTCAAACAGAGTCAGTGGACACCAAGATGAACTTAAGCAACTTGTTAATGATGTACCAGGACGGCGCCAGCAGTCCAGACTCCAGCGAGGAGGACACCAAGCTGTCCATGCTGCCCCACCTGGCCGACCTGGTGTCCTACAGCATCCAGAAGGTCATCGGTTTTGCCAAGATGATTCCAGGCTTCAGGTACAAACAAAAACACACCGCACTAATTGAGCGTAGTCAAGGAAGTACGGTGGTATATACTGAGGTCGGGATAGTGTAGCGGCACATATTGATGTCTGATTTTTTCTTCTGGAGGAGTCACCGCAGTCAGAAGCTTTTTAAAAATGTCTGAAATTTGACCACAGCAATAAATCATTCACACAACGTCAAGTCAGCTTTACTTGTGTTTACACGGTTGTTAATGCATCTCAGTTGATCTCATTTAATTCAAAGCTTAAACAACAAAAGAATAAATCTTTCGTTTGAGTCACTGATCGAGCAAAAATACCAAATATTTAGTGTTTCCAGTTTCTGAAATGTGAAGTTTGGTGCTTTTTGTTTGATTTAAATGATGCTGTGTAATGAAACATCACTTTTGGAAAATCATGACGGAATGATTTTAATTATTTTTTAGGACTAATCAGTAAAATGATCTGCAGATTGATCGATAATAAAAGAAAAAGTCTCTTGGAGACACGGCAGACTGCTGAAGCTGACCCGTAGGTCGACGGGAACACCTCTGATTGGCTATAATCCTCTGGTGTCATATTCCAGCCATCTTGATAATTAAACGTTATTACCCCCACCGCCGCCGCCGCCGCTCTCTGTTTCACTCAGTCCTGTTAATAATTTGTTGACTAGTTAAAATTCTGCTGCATCCGACCAGTAGCTCACACAGACACCGAGGCTAACAGCCTGGACGAGCTCTCCGCCCACACGCAGAGCACAATGATTTGCTGCCCACATGTATGCGGCATGTTATTGGGCGAGATGCTATTATGGCTCCCAAACAAACAAGCTCCTCCAAGAAACCGCAGGAACAGGCTGTAGCTTTATAAATACATGCTGAGCGGAGAGATAAGTTTATAAATGAATGCACAGACAGACACTGTGTAATAAAAGAGTAGAAAAAGACACAGCTGCTGTATGGATAGACATAATGCAAACATGAGTGTTTGCAAACAGAAATGGAAAACAGATGATGTGCAGACAGCTTTGTATTTACATCCAGTTATTCTACTGCTGACCTTGCTGCAGTGCACCATGGGTATATTGTTCAAATATTTGGAAGCCAAGTGTCGGCTGTGTGTAGCAGGGTTTCTTTGTTTACCTTGAAGACGCTGCGGATACATGACAACACGGAGCTCTCTGCAGCTCGATGCATCGACTGCAGGTTCTCCTATTCTCTCACCCTGGAGCGGCAGATTTACTCTGATTAGACCTCGGCCCTCGTCTCGTCCCTGGGCCTTAATTTGAGAAGCACGTGTTGAGCTGATTTCATCCCCACGTTCTCATTTAATAAATGGTGGTGGTGGTGGGGGGGGGGTATTGTATAACTGAACAGCATTCGATTTCAAGATTCAAACCTTAATCGCCCTCTTCTTTAGTTCGAAGCATTTGACAGGCATCGCTATCTAAAAATGATTTGACTATTTTTGATGCTGTAACATGGCAGTGATTCAAACTAGACCTTTTTTAAAGTATTTGCTTAAAAGAAATATAAGAGAAGAAAAGAGCAGGCTGTTCTGTGCAGCATGAAATCAATGAACGAGACGACAAAATCTTATTTATTTAATTATCTTAAGGGCAAAAGTTGCACTGTGCTCTGTGTGTGTGTGTGTGTGTGTGTGTGTGTCTGTCTGTGTCTCTGTGTGTGTGTGTGTGTGTGTGTGTGTGTGTGTGTGTGTGTGTGTGTGTGTGTGCTTTTGTGGCCAGACATAGCTAAGGGTTGGAAACGCTGTTGCTACAGTAACTATATAATACATTCAGTATGCATGCTGAGCTTATTAGTCTCCCTCCCTCCCTCACACACACACACACACACACACACACACACACACACACACACACACACACACACACATTTACAATTGTAGGTGGTTAAGGACAGCTCTCGGACAGATAAATACCTGTGTTCAGTGGATCTCAGCTACTTTGCACCACTTGAAATTTTTTTTATTTTTTCATTCAGTGTTTATCTGTGGGTGTAACAGAACAGTAATTTGCTGTAGCTACGTCACAACACACACACACACACACACACACACCGACTCCATGTGTGTGACAGCTCCGACATATGGAAACTCCAGCTGTTTCTTGTGTTTTTCTCTGCTTTCTGTCTGCTCCACATTTCTCTGTACAGTCAAGTCCTGTTTGTTTGTTTGTTTGTTTGAGTTTTTGAAGTTGTTTTTCTGCTTCCACTGTGGCTGCTATCTGAAACTCCTCTTTAACAAAATACACATTATAAAACGTTATTCTCTGGCATGTTCATTGTCACTAAAGGAGCTACTTCCACGTTTTGCTATTGCTGTATAGCCAATGTTAGCATTAAGAGATGTTTCAGCAGTAGCTCATACTGCATCTGTGACTGTGTGTGTGTGTGTGTGTGTGTGTGTGTGTGTTCAGAGAGCTGACGGCAGAGGACCAGATTGCTCTGTTGAAGTCAAGTGCCATTGAGATCATCATGCTGCGTTCCAACCAGTCGTTCAGTCTGGAGGACATGTCCTGGAGCTGCGGAGGACCCGACTTCAAATACTGCATCAGTGACGTTACAAAGGGTTTGTTTCATCTCACACACCGTTACAGCTGTGTCTTAACTGCACTTACATAAACACACGCAGCGCAGCGACATGTCTGGACTCCGATACACGACTGCTCACTCACAGCGCGATGACTGTGATTATTGATCACACACATCTCTCTCAATATGCTCCTCTTCTCCGTCTTTTCCTCCTTTAACGACGGCTCTGGAAGTTTCCATGGAGGCTGCGACATCGAGCACTGCACCGGTAAAATGTGACTGTGCGCACGAGCGCGCACACTCTCAAGGAGAGAAATGTGTTCATTGTTGCAGCTGATGACACGGCTGTGATGGGTTTTTTTTTTTCCACCTTATATAACAGAGACTTACAAGGATCACCCACGCACTGCTTTTTCTACGCACACTTGCACATTACTATGAGGTTTTCACTTCAGGTTTGACTTCAGGTGTTTTCATGGAAGCAATAAAGCGGCCACAAACACACACTCGCTGCTTATTCACTCACACATGCAGGACAGGAAGTGATGTTCTCTGTAAACACAGAGAGAGAGAGAGCAGTGGTTCTTCACTGGAGCTCACCGCTGTGTAAAATGTGTTCTCATTCATAAGCCAATAGGAAAGCACAAATATATGTTTCCCCGCCTTGGTGCAAGAGGATGTAACCGTCTGTGTTCGCTCGGTCCTCTGTAGCGGGTCACACTCTGGAGCTGTTGGAGCCGCTGGTGAAGTTCCAGGTCGGTCTGAAGAAGCTCAACCTGCACGAAGAGGAACACGTGCTGCTCATGGCCATCTGCCTGCTCTCCCCAGGTACTGCTCCTGTGTGTGTGTGTGTTTGTGTGTTGATGGCGTAAGTGCATTACCAGCTGAGCCAATTTTAAAAAAAAAAAAAAAAATTTCAAGTGAGATTGTCGGCTGTCTACTAACAACACCATTTCATCAAAGTACGAACAGTGCAGCACAGGGTTTGGGTTGATTGAACCAAATGTGAATATGTGCTTGACGCATGAAGAAGCTTTTCACTGACGACAGAAATGAAATGTTTGCGAGGCTTCAGTGACGAGTTGAAGAACAGGGACTGAACATAATCACTGAATGAGGCCACTGGGAGGCAAGGCTGCTTCAGGAATATGTGACGCAGGCTCGTTTCTATCTGTATTTCAAAGGCTGTTTGTTTTCTCTGACACTAATCTGAGTCATTCGGTCAGTGTGGTATCCAAAGTTTCTGAATAGCCTCCTGCCTCAAGGCTGGAGGAACATTATTCCACTGCAGTCAAAGCACCTAAACTTTCTACATAAAAGAAATGAAGCGAGTCTCCTTGACCCTTTGACCCCTATGATGCAGTTTGTGTCAGTCATGAGAACACGCAGTCGTATTGTCAGCAGTATCTCTCAGTATCACTCTGGTCAATATCACAAAATGCTACTTAATTACAAATCCTCTCCGTTTCAAACAAATATATTTATTTTCAGCCAAAGCCGAAGCTGCAAATCTGAATCATCAATCGAGTTTTTTCCTCATATCATCCGCATAAGTAGTTAGTGCTAACTGTAACCGCTAGTAATAAGTGCAGCATGATAAAGACATTTTGTTTCACACGATCAATTAATTTTTTTCTAAAGCTCAGAACGTCCCTTCAACGTGCTTCTTATATCCCGCAAACACTGACACTCTTATTGGCCGAATTTATCCTAAAAATAATAACATGTGGCATTAACGCTGTGTTTGTAATGACCAAGTGAAAGGCCTGTAAATAAAGGTAAAAACCAGGAGAAAACTGTATGTGGGTTCAAAGGGTTAAGGCCGAATAAAACACTGAGAACGTGTTGGGAGCACAACGACCAAATGGAAAAGAAGAAGGTAGATGTGATGTGTTTATGGTGTGTGCTGAAATTATACATTAGTATATACAGTTTTGTGTGATCCGTTTTAATTATTTTAAATGTAGTTACATGAAGTTTAACAGTGAACGTGTCGTCTCTCTCTCCATCCATCCACCTCAACTTCAACCCGCCTCACCTTCTCCCCGTGCCCCTCTCTGCTTGGTTGTCTGCTTGCCTGCTCCTTGGCTCTTTGACCTCCCTCTTTACGTTCCACCTCCTCCGTCTCTCCGATGGCAGATCGTCCAGGTGTCCAAGACCACGCCCGCATCGAGCAGCTGCAGGACCGCCTGTCGGAGGCGCTGCAGGCCTACATCCGGGTCAACCACCCGGGCGGACGCCTCCTCTACGCCAAGATGATCCAGAAACTGGCCGACCTGCGCAGCCTGAACGAGGAGCACTCCAAGCAGTACCGCTCGCTCTCCTTCCAGCCGGAGCACAGCATGCAGCTCACCCCGCTGGTGCTGGAGGTGTTTGGTAGCGAGGTGTCATAGCAGAGGAGGAAGCAAGCACGTAAACAAATACACCCTCATCACACACAGGATGATTAAACAACCCTTACCCTTACCCTTACCCTTACCCCCCCCCCAGAACACCCCAGCCTTGATACATCCCTGGACATGTGGGAGAAAGATTAATATTCAGATAGGTAGACAGTAACCTTCACCTCCTTCATCATTGGCCCACCCTCCTCCTCTTCCTCCTGGCCTCCAGGAGCAAGACTCAGATCAGGGTTCAAGTCACCTGAACGCGCTGTGGATGTCTGCAGCGCTGGGATAGGGTTTGCAAACACAGTACCGCATTACATTTCATTAGGTCACACGGATATCCTGACACACTGACATCTGGAACAGCTGGACATCCTGATCCTCTCCACGATCCACAAACTCCAGATTTGCCTTTTCTCATCACCTTTCCCCAGACATCACTTCTAGATTCCTGCCATATTTTTTTTTAATTTTTAATTTTATTTTTTTACAGCGGAGACAGCTCGACGGATGTGACCGCCACATCCCTTTTTTTACCGTCATCCTCATAACATTGCTTCATGTTCACATCATCGTGACGACAGACAGGTATAGATACACAGATTTACATCGATTAACCATGCTGGCACTTGTGAGGTACAGATAAACTGCTAGCCATGTTACTACACTAGTGTTAGATAGCTATAAACTATTGTTGATTTGCAGTTTGTTTGACAGCAAATACATCCAAATATATTAAACATCCGCATAGCCAGCCATGGGCAAGCTTACAGTAATGTAATGGAAATAATACTTGGTTTCACTGGTTTTAAAAAATACTCGGTGAAGATGGGAGTCTGGCGGGTGTGTTTTCCTGCTTAGCCCTGTGTATCTGTGTAGGCGAGGTCTCAGATGGTCCGATGAAGTGAAGAAAGGAATTTTAAGTAGGAATGTTTCAGCGTAGGAATGGTGGGAGAGGAAAGGTGAGATTCGGAGGAATGAGTAAAGGAGATCGGGTAGATGGAGGGAGATGCTACGGTTGGAATTCCCTGTTCACAAGACAAAAGGGAATTTCACAAAACAAGAATGTATGTATAATGCTATATAAATATAAATGATACGTATAAGCTGATATATATAAATATATATATATAGAAATATTTAAGAGAGCAAAACATGGTTGCTTCCACGGAGGCAAACAGTTCTGAGTGTTGTATAATGTAGAGGATTCGAAGGCCCCTCCTCAGTTGAGTGTGTATGTGTACTCTTTCAAAAGACAAATGTATACACGCATAAAGAAAGCGCTGAGAAGTGTGCGAGGAGTCCTTCTATTTTTGTGATGTGTGTACAGTATATGAGAATATTGATGGACCACAAGGGGGTGTGTGTACAGGCTCTGACTGAGGGTTTAGTGCAGGGAAGCACTTCACTGTTGGATTTTTGTCGTTATTGGACCTGTGAAGTTTGTAGACTGACATACGCAAACACAACGTCATATTTCGTGGATAGCGATTATCCAAAAAAAAAAAAATATTTGTCCGGCTGGTTAGATTGCTGCTAAGACAGTTAGAGCTAGATAGTTGGGTAGAAAACCAACTACCGGCTGTTGCCTCAGGGAAAAGTTTGTCTGATGATATTGTGTACTTGGTGTTTACGGTGTGTGTGGCGTAAGCTTACAATCATGAGACGGAGATTGTTTTTGAAGCTCTAGGCATCACTGTGATTTCTAATCATACTAAATAACAGCATAAGTAAGCTAAAAGTGAAACTTTTTAAAACGGATTACTACAATATTTTCATTCCTAAGCTTCTGTTCAAAAAAACACAAAAAAAAAAAAACCAACAAAAAAAGAAAAAAAAAAACTCCTCTTATGAAACGGTTTGCATTATCGTACAATGCATTACAGATCATTACAGTCAAAGTTGACATACCCATTAAATGGCAACATTTTTAAAAAACACAGAATCCCCTGTGTTTAAAACATTGCTTGATTAATATCAGCCTTAAGTTCAGTTTGTTTTTCTTTCTTCAGGGCAAAGTGAATATTCTACAAATGGTAGCAATATACAGTAGTTGAACATTGTATAGCCTGTATAGTGTTTTTTGGAATGAAATCCTTCAGATGCTCTTAACAGCAGGACAGAGTTGTAAAAACATGAGAAAGAAGAACTTTTTTATATTCAGTATAAAATCAAGCCTCATGCCGTTTTGTCACATTTATATCATTTCAACACCAGCCGCATAAGCGAGGTTTTAGGATGTTACTTTTCAACATCACTACATATCATATCACGTTTCTGTTGACACGGTGCATGCTCTCCCCTCACGCAGGCCTGGATCACCCCCTTGTGGACAAACTTTGTAAATACCACTTGCTAAGTCTGTACATAGTTAGAGATTAATGTAGGCAAAATACTAAGAGAATTCAATTGTTGATGGCAAGATGCTCTGGAAATACAGCACTATATGCAATTAGGAGATGGACTCTTATGTTGTATTTAACTAGAATGCACAGAGGTGGCAATCCTGGTTGAAGTGACTGAGTTGTTTTTAGGGAGCGCCGAAGAAAAATGTCGGACTCGGGTTTGACCAGTTCGGCTTTTTGCAAGCTTGATATTTCCGACTGGAAGCGCTGGGAGCCGATATTCACAAATTCGAATTTGACCAATTTCATATCGACAAAAGACAGAAGAGAAGAGCAGGTTTTCACAGACCGACCCAAATGAAAAGCAATCTGGCCAATATAGTCCCCCAATGAAAGGGCCAGCATTGGTCCAACCCTGTTTTGGATGATGAGCTCTTAACCGAAATGAACATTAGTGCAATGATGGGACTCAGAAACCTAATGTGTCGTAATTTGCAAAAAGGCTTTTCACGTGACTGAACATTCCCAGTGGTGGTTGTTGTGTTGAGCATTCCAACTGGCTGAGTCTCACGCACGATCTACACGCGCAAACATCAGTGTGTGAACATCCTTAACTGTCCGGCAGCCTTTTTTTCTGAGGGCGCCCAGCAACTCAGTGTGTCACCACAGGAAGTGTCCCCTCTGTGCGTTCCAGGCTTATGGATGTACGTCTTTTTCTCTTTTCTCTCTCTCTCTCTCTCTCTCTCTCTCTCTCTCTCTCTCTCTCTCTCTCTGAAGTCAATCGATAAGCTTTTGACAATTATACAGTATATCCATAATATTTTTCATTTTGGTGAAAATCTTTTTTTTTTTTCCTTTTTTTTTTCTTTTTTTTCCTCTGTTTTCTTTTGTTCTTTTCAAGATTGTCAATTGTAATGTGTGTCAGAGTTTGCTGTCTAGCTAGTGCTTGGCTTGCTGCGGTGGGACGTCATTTTAATGAAGCAGAGATGAGCAAAGTGGACTCCTGGAGCCTTTTCCAAGCGCAAATGAACAAGCTCCCCCTTCCCTTGTTCCCCCTTGAGTTCAACTGAGTGTATACAGAATAGCCCCTTTTTAACTAATGATGTGGCTTCACCTTTCTTGTTTGGACAAGGGAGGGACTCTGGCACTCATTCTCCTTCCTTTTTTCCTGATGGAATAACAAAAGACTTGTCATTGCAGCCATGTTATACCTGGATGTGTAGCCACGCAGTGGAGCTACGTCTTTGTTAATGGAAAGGCAGTCCCCAGCTCTGTATTAAAAAAACAAAACAAAACAAAACAAAAAAAACAGCTACATGTACTTTCCCAGAAGCAGGATGTCAAACACAGTCAAGTGTTCATAAACTAACACTGCCTCAACTGACTGACACAGGATTTAGCCAGTGGCAAACTGTCGCAGCAACAGCATGGGCGTGCCTCTTCATTCGTCACCCAACCATCTAACCGCCTCTTCTTCTGCAATAGCCAATTACAGCAGGATTACTCTTCATAGCTTTAACTCGGCAGCCAGTCCGGCTCTGCTTTTTATGGAAAACTGTGGCGCACCAAGGGCTGATGGGAGTCTGAGATTTAGTGGAACAGGCTGCTGTGAGATTGGACGTGTGATGACATGCATGACGACGCAGAAAGAAACGGCTCCTTTGTCCCCGTCTGACCCGGAAACAAAAAAAACCTTTTCGGATCAGACGTCCAGAAGACTGTGTAGAGTTCGTAGACTGTAGGAGATAAAAAAGTATTTTTAAAAAACGAGAATCGCCACAGGCAGATGTAGTGACGTGCTGTACAGGCAGAGTGTGCAGTGACTGACTGAGATGTCTCCTCCTTAACCCAAAGCGTGACATTACCTTTCTCACTACTCTGTGTCTCGCATCGCAGCTCTTGACATTTTTAAAGAATAGTTGTTGAATGACATATATATATAAAAAAGTGGACTTTTTACATACAACATCAACACCTACATCATCTGTTTGAAAAGGAATGCAGGACGGGGTGATGGGGCGAGAGTCTGCTCAGCTGTGAGGGTTCTGAGAGTGAAATTATGTAACTTTGCTATGCTGCTGATGGGACGCTGATTTTCCTCTTATTTTCCATTATTAATGGCTAAAAAGTTTTAGGTCGTACATGGAGAATGTTAAGCCTGCAAGACGGATCTGACTTAGTATTTTTACACTAACGGTTAACACGAGGACTGTAGCTGATGCTAGAAGCCATTAGCACTCAGATGGACCCAAACAAAGCTGAAGTCTCTCTCTCTCTCCTCACCCCTCCTCCCCTCAACCCAGGTCAGCAGCTCCACCTCAGTAGCCTTACTTACAGAAACCTCACTCAGCTGGAAAACATTTAAACAGATACCTCAATAATTTACAGAATGACTTTTTTACAATAGCTTTTAAGGGAACCAAACATAAACTCATACCACACACATACACTCAGACAGACACACTACAACTCTTTCCTCAATCTTTGCAGTGTTTTTACGTCAAACATACAGTGAACTAGTTGCCAGTCGTTGTATGAAGAAGAAGATTGTCCAGTAGAATCCTGTTGCCAGTAGACCAGTCAGTATACGAGTGGATCCCAATGTTTCTAAATGTTAACTGTCACTCTGCTGTTTTTTCTGCTTTACTCACTTGATCCTCA